GGAACAAGAAACTCAAGAGATTTCAAGAGTAATAAAAAGCCTTCCTATTCCTTTCCAAGCTTCTAAATTACTGCTAACAGCAGCTACTGTAACAGTCAACAGTTACACAAACCTCTTCATCGAGGCAGGGGGAATATCCTTCACTTATATTATTTAAAGAACATGAAATAAACAATGGCTTACATATCCCATAAATGGAGAAAAAATGACACTGTAATGAACAGAATGCCAAATTCGTGAGGTTTGCAATTCATAAATGTTATGGATTGAACTGTGTCCTCCAAAAGAGACATGTTAAAGTTCTAACCTCCAGTACCTCAGAATGTGACTTGATGTGGAAACAGCGTCCTTCCGGGGGTAATCAAGTTAAAATGAGGTCATTAGGGTGGGCCCTAATGCAATGTGACTAGTGTCCTTATAAAAAGGGGAAATTTGGACACAGCGACAGACACACGCACAGGGAACACCAGGTGAACATGACAGCAGAGACCAAGGTGATACATCTACAAGCCAGGAATGACAAAGATTGCCAGTACACTGCCGAGGAGAGGAGAGAGGCAGGGAACGGTTCTCCTTCACAGAACCAACCCAGCGGGAACCAACTCTGCCAACACCTTGACCTTGGACTTCTAACTGCAGAACTATGTGATGATAAACTTGTGTTGTTTAAGCCACTCAGTCTGTGGTACTTTGTTTTGGCAGCCTTGGCAAACTAATACAATGAGGTTCATGGCAAAATCCAAACGACACAATGTAAATCAACACATACATGTAAAATGCTCTCAAACCAAAAATCAGTGAGATCTCTACAAATGACAGGCAGCTTTACTGCAACATAATGATAACTGCTCTTGGAAAAGATGCTAAAGGTAATGTTTAGAGATGGAGGCAGGGCTGTGGACATCTATGGGAGAGTGATGGAGAGTACTACAACAGGGACCCCAACATTTAGTGGGCTCTTTAAATTATGTAGCACTTCAGGGCATACACCAAACAAAAGCACTGTCACCTCTTAACAGAGGTGAGTGGTCAATGTCTTTCATCTCCAGAAGGAGAAAATTAAATACATGTGAACAACTGCTTGAGACATGCAGACTAGATACATTTAGACCCGCTGGAGTGAAAAGTATTAACCATCCAGAACCATCCTTCTGAAAGATTGCAGTCTTTCTTTTATTCAGGCATAATGAACGAAGGATTCTTCAACCATCTCCAAGTTGTAACATAAATCTTAAACATTTAATAGAGTTATTAACTTACATTTGGAAATCAGCTGAGCACATCTTTTGTGGGAAAGCACTTCAAAGTGATTGGTTTGTTTCTTTATAATGATATAGTATGTTTGCCTCTGTTGGATTCATGATTAAACCAAGTCAGAGCATATGTGAGAACCATTTGGAATATTCGACAAGGACAAATCTTTCCAAGGAAGGCCTTATACCATGGAAGTGGTGTAGTGTAATGGTTAGAAAAAGAATCACTTCAAACCTGATAGACATGAACCAAAACATGTGTGGCCACTAACAGCCTGAATGGACTTGGACAGTGGCTAAAACTCTCTAAGCTCAAAGATTCCTGGTCAAATGGAGATGGTAATAATAAGACCTATCTTATAGGCACTATGAGAAGTAAATGAGGCATATTACATATACTATAATTACTTAATCCAGTATAGTTATCATTACATCATTAACATTAGATACACAAGTAATTTTTATACAGTAGAGTCCTATTTTCTTTAGGAAAAAAATATAAAATTCAAGACATAACCCCTATTGAAATTACTTCAACTATTCAGACCATTACCACGACATTCTATTACGCTCAAGCAACATAGTTAAGTCATTAACAGCTCTCTAGATTTTGTTTTTACTCCCTAACATGTTTAATTTTCATTTAAATTATAAAAAGAACTTCTCTTTTTCAAATATCTAAGATCTCAAAATTTATACTACTATTTTTGACTTACAGTATTTCTGTACTTCCTTACTTACTATACGTCTTCCTTTATCAGGATACTCCTTCATCTTCTTAACTCGAAAATCATGAACAAAGTTAAAAGAATACATTCCACAAAAGCCCAAGATTATCTAAATCAGCACATAATCAAAATTTCCAATTATGTGTTTGAAATGATACTGCAGAGAATTTTCTACTACATCTTTTCTATTTATTAGCTTAGAATGCCCTATTTTTTATAATGACTTAAAAGGGAGACAAAGACATGGATAATTTAGAAAATTATTTTTCAACACTATTTGGTAATGTGATTAAGGTAAAACAAGGCTTATGTCTCACACAATTATTTCAGAAGTAGCATCAAGTTTTCTACAAGCTACATGCCACCAAATACAGCAACTCGGTGCTCTTAATCAACCGGGGAGAGGGAGGAGGCCTATCAGAAGCATGTGGGGTGAGCTTCTCAAGGACCCAAATCCATGCTCTGACCCTGGGACAGCACAGGGGAAGAGGACAAATAACGGCAAAGCTGTTTCTCTTTGTGAAAATATATGCAGCATGATGCCAAAGCAGACAGGCAGGAAAAAAGAAAGAGCATGCAGTATTTTTAATTAAGTAACTTCTGAAAGATGGAGTAAAAACTCATTTAAAAAGACATCAAGAATGGCCGATACATTTGGCCTTGTCAAATCAGTATCTTAAGCAAATGTTAAACCTCCATGAGAAATTAATCATGTCATTCAGCTGGAAACGAATTCTCATCTAGGGTTTCCAACTCCAATGAGAGAAAGAGAACACAAAGTTGGGGAGATGTGTAAGACAGAAAAGAGAAACTGGACATTTATAATGAAATAGTATCCAAAACGATTTGCTAGCAAGGAAAACCAATTTTACTGACTTGTACACTGGTTAAAAAAACAACAATAATGAAAACCTGAGGGGAAAGATTTATTACATGTTAAATGGAAATTATTTAAATATAGTGTTAGTAGTAAGAGAGCAGGTACAATTTACATGTGAAATATTTAAAAAAATTAATGAACTTACTTGCTTTTCCCTTTGTATACTGTAGCATAAGATCCTTCTCCTAGTTTTTCCAGTTTTTCATATGAGTCAGCTTTTCCAAATTTGGGACTCGTCGGCTAAAAATGGAAGAGAGTAATTAAACAAAACGGATTGTATAAAACTAATTAACAATAAATAACACAATTTTCCTAAAAATATACAGATCCTCTGTCACTTTTACATGTTTTTCTGATATAAGATGTTTATTTTAAAAAACAACATAATAAATATTCAGGGAATAAAATTAAGAAAATACAAATGAACACAGTAAAGAAGTTAAAAAAAAAAAAAATCCACCTATAATCTAATCACCGAGAGGGAAATACTGTTAATATTTTGATATCTCTTCTTCCAGTGCTAATCATATATTGATGATTTTTTTATATATAAATGGGATTACACTATACATATTGTTTGTAACTTTTTTGTCACTCAATAAGTTATGACTATTTCCATTATTATATAATCTTTTAAATTAGGGGCTGGCAAATCCTACCTACAATCTGTTTTTGCATATCTCATAAGCTTAGAAAGGTTTTACTTTTTTTAATTGGGGAGAGGATCAAAAAAAGAATAAAATTTCATAGCACATGAAAATTATGTGAAAAAATTTTAGTATCCATGAAGTTTACTGGAACACAGTCACACACATTCATTTACATATTGCCTTATGACTTCAAGCTACAACAGATTTGTAATTGCAACAGAGATCATATGGCCAAAACCTAAAAATATTTACAATCTGAACCCTGTTGTAAATCATGATGGTATACAGTTCAATCATGTAAAGGTATTCCCTCAATACTTTTCAGTGACAATGAAAAGAGATAATTAAAGACACAGCATTCAGATTTCACTAATTAATACAAAAGAATTCACTTATATCAATATAAACCAAATTTTAAGGGTTAGCTGCAACAAAATAACTCTTCCTTAAGAATGGTACATCCCATCATGACCATAACAATGCTAAGAGTGAGTGATCTCATCACTTGCTATGCTCAACTTCCACTCAAACTTTCACCAGAGAGCAAGGGGAGCATTGTTTTCCATGAGAGCAAATTATCTGTCTAAATGTCACTATAAAAGAAAAATTATCTAAATGGAACTAAAGGCATCTTTAAGGGATTATCTGCTCAGTTATCAATACATATATAATTGATAAAAAATATTGCTAATGATTGTGGTACTTTGTAAGCAACCAACTTTAGAAGCTTAGGATGGAACTTCTTGCAGAACGTTTATAGAATACTATTCTTGAGCATATGCTCTTGTATTACTTATGAAAAAAGACAACATACTGGCAATGAATCTGACTCCCACCATTTATAAGGATTCTATGTGGCAAGTCGAGCACATGCTTCTTACCTCCTTCCTACCCAAAATGTCATGCAGTGACTAAAAAGATATTTTTAAAAAATAATAAATCAGACACAGGAATGGGAAACAAAAAGAGTGCCAATATTTAATCAGAAATTTTGAGGAATTCTGAAAGATAGAAAGTAGAAAGGATTAAAATGTTAGAAAAAAGACTGAGAGAACCCAAAGTCCCAACATGTAGGAGAAGAATATTATAGAAAAAAGATGCAGGAGTCTGTAGGTAAATATGAAACTAATCAACACAGCTGAGCACACGGTGTCCTCCCAAGCAAACTGCAAGAACATCTGCACAGAGGAGAGAGCTGAGATTGTCGGTATTCAGACTAGGGGGACAGAGCAAGGACTAAAGTAGCCAACACCCAGAGAAAAGATGACATCCTCCCATCCCCAAGCTGTGATCCCTGCCTCTCTCATACAATCACTAGAAACAATCTACAGAAAACAGAATAAGGTGACAGAAATTCTCAAATACAAAAATGAGTATACGATGAAAAAATCACAAAGCATTTCAGGAAAATCAACAAGAAGCATAAAATTTAATGGGCAGATAAACTAAAACACTGCTAAGAGAGTTGACATTGCAAAGGTATGAATAACTTTGAATGAAAACAACAGTATCTTCAGAGACGTTTGCAAAGATATTATATCCTGTGAAAAGAAACAGATTTAGAGGCTAAATATTTAATCAGTAAAACAAAACACTTAATGGACAGTGAATAAAATAATAGATACAGGTGAAAAAAAAAGTAAGTTCAATGTCTGAATCAAATTTTCCAAGAAAATTTTGGGGAAAGGTTGCATCTAAATAGAAAAATCATCCAAAAAGCACTATAGTTTTATATACAGCAATAACTGAAAAAAGACAATTCAGCTGAAAAGAGAAAACTATTTCAAATCAATAATCCTATACTCAAGATAGTTTCTCAACTATCTTGAGTATAGGATTATTGAGTATGGGATGGAAAAGCTGCAATTTTACCACCATCAGAAAAGAAAATCAGATACAAAATTCCATATTATCTCAATATAAGATGTAGTTGGAGTGATGGAAAAATTACAGGAAGGCAAGGAACAGCAGGATAGGAGAAATAAAGCATTTTGAGATTTCACTGGATTGACTTGCAGACACTGATTAACTACAAATGCATAAGTTTTAATATGTTTCTTAACTTGTAAAAGAGAATCCCTAGAATAACATAAATAAGACGTACAAATCCCAAGAAAATTGGGGGGAGAAGAGAATAGAAGAAAAAATTGCAAGGAAGAAGGGGGAAGAGGGTAAGAAGTAGGAGGCTAGTGGAGGCAGGGTACTGAATAAGAAAGCATGCCAAGTAAAAGATCACAAAACAAGAAAGAAGTTAAGTCCAAACACATCAATGATTACAATAAACATAAATGAACAAACTTCCTTTGTTAGTAGAAAGTTCTTAGCTTGAAAAGACCAAGGAAACAGAGCAATATACTATTGAGAAGAGACAAATTAAAACAAAGGAGTAAATCTGAAAATAAAGAGTGAAGGGGGAAATACAGCGAAAATAAGAATTTTTGCAAAATCATGCGCCATGGCAATATTTATGGCAGATAAGACAGAATGTATACAAAACAGGTTAAATTAGTATATCTCATTAAAATGAACATTAAAATCTACCAAGAAATTTAATATCATCAACTAGTTTGAGCCAAATAACAGAGTTTTGAAATGTAGGAATAAAATGAGAAACTGTCAACTCCACAGTGATAATAGGAGAAATACATCACTCAGACATCAACAGAGCAAGAAGACAACTAATAAGTAAGGGATATATGGGCTTGAATATTAGAATTAAAATTTTGATCTAACACATATTACCATATATTCTTTCCAAGTACAAATTTAAATTCACACACACGCGCACATGCACACACACAAAATGACCACAGATTAGGCCACAAAGAAAATCTCAATATTCAAAACCACAGAAACATTCTAAGTTATTTTCTGAATGCAATGCAATAAATTAGAAATAAAGAATAAAAGGAAAACTAAATATTTAGCCACACAGATTAAAAAGAAAATCAAAATTAAAAATTTAAAAATAAATATGTAGTACTGATGACATGACATTTTAAGACGCATGCGATGCAGCTACATCCATACATGAAAGAGAATTAAATATATATGCATGTTCTAGTCAAAAAGAAAGACTAAAAGTAATGAGTTAGACATTTACTGAAGCTAGATAAGAACAAAGTACATAGTAGGAAGGAATTAATAAAGACAAGGGGCTACCTATTCTTTTCTTGAAGAAACTTGTAATGTACAAATTATGTGTTGAGTTAAATTAAGTAAAACTTAATAGAAAATTACATTCAAAATCACTTAACTAGTCTTGTGTGGGTTATGTTCTCATGCATTTTTCATCACCAGGAAACAGCTTGCGAATGTCACACTTTACCATCACCCTGCTGAGCCCAAGTTTTAAATAGAAATTTTAAAATCTATATTAAACTTCAGTATAAAATGATCTTCAATGGGGAAAATATTGTGTTCACAGTTCCACTCTAAATTATTTAAAATCAGAATGAGAAGTCTGTATGTTTGCTTTAGTGCTCCTTTAAGAATAAATCCAATCTAAGTTGAAAAAAAAGCAGCAGCAGAATATTACCTCTTTACTCATATTAGGAGATAAACTGCTAATGCGTATTTACAGCAAGTATAAGACATAGTCACACAAAATTTGTAAGAAAATATTTTCTCTTCCTGGAAAGGCATATATAATTTTCTAAAAATGGCATATATTTCACCCTTCATAAACTGTCTTATAATAGAGTTGATGTAACTATTTTAACATGCAGACTATACTAAACTTAAGACTTGAAGAAACTGAATTGAGGAAATCAGAAAAACAAGGGGAATATCTTTTAAAACATACCCCATTTATCCACAAGAAAAACCAAGTAAGAGAAGATGCTAATGGCACAAAGTAGTCTATTTATCTAATTAAATAGATTTGGATGCATTAACTGCCATGGTTAAAATATAGTCTGTGAACACTGTGATGGCAGAAAATTAATATTTCTCCACTTTTGGTGCTAATACAATCAATGTTGTTTGCCCTGTGAAACTGATATGTAGACATTATGGAAATACCCTGTAACTAACAGATCAATCATGCTAGCTCCACAGCAAGAATGGCACACACGTAATACCTCTCTAAAAGTTGTTCTAGCCTACAAAAGAATGCACCAATGAAACAGACCATGTCTGAGACAGTCTGAGTTTTAAGAGTTAGGTTCTTGTCAGTCTCCTAATTTAAGTTTGCAGACTAGTTCTGATCTATAATTACTATTAATATAAATAAGGAATCCAAGTGCTAAGTCTTTAAAGAAGCCAATAATAAAACCCTTCCTACCAAATAAGCGAAACTAATCTTAATTCAGAAGGAGAGGTCCTATTTCGTTTAATAATTAAAGTTCGAGCCTTTGGTTTGTGGGTTTTTTTTCCTTGTAACTTTATTAAATCATCACATTTAAGTAAAGAACTAGATCAAACCAGTAAGTTGTCAACCCTAAACATTTTCTTTGGCTCTCTGATGTCTGGGAAACAGCATTATGGGCAACTACTCCCTGCTTATCACTTCCCTACTCAGAGTGCAGGCTTGAGATAGCACCTTACAGAAGGCAAGCACAGAGGGCTAATCAGCAATTACTTAGGGAC